CACTGTCTATAACTCAGCTATAGTACATGGTGAGGGTATGTAACAGCATTACACACACGTGTACTGTATCTGAGCTGTACACAGTAGATAGTGTGATGTGTCATGTTATAGACAACCTCATCGCTTGGGTCTGAGTAATAAATATTAACACACACTCACATAGCTGCTTGGTGGTGTGAGTTACACTGTTATAGACACATGGAGAAACTGAAATGCACACAAATATATATCTGTGCAAATACACACGTATTTTTAACATTGAAGAAAACTCACGTTTAATCATGACACTGCGTGGTCTTATAAGGTAGTACTGTATACAACAGGTGACGTTTTGAGCAACGGCCCCTCTTCACAGCATGTCGCGAGCGCGGAGAAGTTGAAGAGCGACTCTACGAATGTGCTGAGATTGTTTTTTGTGGTTATTTGTGCTCCTCTGTCAAACGCAGCGTCGCCAAAACATTTAGGTGATTTGAGAACGGCTCCCCATGCTACAACGCTGCAGAAGCTGGCGTTGTTATTTATTTATTTATTCGCTGTTGATCCGCTAAACTCTGCCACGTGCAAACAAAGAGAAACGCGTGCGTGGAAACCAATTCCAAACCCTTACATTCACTAAAGCAACGATCATCAGAGTACAAACCCGAACACGCACGCACTCATTCAGAATCGCAGTCCTGCTTAACTCTCAATGATGTCCTATGAATAGGCTCGTTGCCTGAAACGTAGTTTAATATGTTACCTTTAAGGTCGACGCAGTGTTATTTGACGAACGCGTCGAGATATTTTGTGACGGCGAGAGAACATCCCACGTGAACCGGTAGTGTGCACCGCGCATTCGTGCATTTGACTGCCATCTGATGCTTGTGGGTGCGCTGCATTGCCTCTGTTTTTGGCTCTGTATCAATGTGTTTCACGTTGTATATAAACGTAAACCGTGTAAGATGTAGATTTTAACGTTTTTATTTGTAGTGATTAGATGTTAACTCTCACGCCTGGTCTGCAGAAGGTCGTAGATTCGATCGCGACGCCTGCTGCATATTAGGAGATTGCGTGTTTCTCTCTCCCCGTGGTCGGGTTTTCCCTCCACATTTAGAATCAACATCACGCGTTTAGATTATTAAGCTACTGATATACATTTCCACGTGATTATAAGCCACTTCGTTGAGCTATCATCTGTTATGGCCAGATCGTTTCTGAAAAAGAGCTACATTTCTCAGTTGGCCTTACCTGATAAAATATAACAAAATATAGTGCATAGTAAATAATTGTATTGATGTTTTTACACATGTGTCACTTGACACCTTGGACACCCTTGCGAATGAGAAGTTTAATCGAGCGACTTTCCAGGTTAAATATTTTAACCATCAACATCCTTGGCGCTCACAACATCGGAGATGAACAAGGAAGCCAACATTACTTAGCACGAGGTTACAAGCCTCACGAAACACTCCGTGGAAATGTGCTCAGGTGGTCAAGTTCACAGACACGAGCTTCGTAGCGCACGCAGCTGTCGAGATGCAACGTGAGACACATTACACGGTCGGCTTTGACCACTTCCAGACGGGAGCCAGGTCCACTCGCTACGCTCTCAGTGGGAGCTGCGCTTGCCACGACTCTCAGTGGCTTCTCACCGATAGCCGCTCGCTGTGGCTGAGAGACGTTGTCCCAGGAGCGCACACAGAAGCGATGAACCAAGACACGACTCTCACCTGCGTAGCCAGGTGCGTTGCATTCACATCGCGGTGTTGGAGTTTACGGGTCGCGATTTCTACAAAACCCAGAGTGGCCAGGCAAACGGTGATGGTTTGTCCCTTGGACTGATGTCGTCGGCTATGGTGAGGCTTTGTGGGTTTCTGCACCAAACCATACCGTATAAAATTTTATTATTAAAGGTTTTGAAAAAAATAAATGTCGTCTCTATCATTGACATTTATTTGTTCTGGATTTATTTTAGCAAAACTGTTTAAAATTGTCTTTATAAAATAGTCAACTTAATACTGTTAATCATTTGACAAATCATCTCCCAACTCCACGTGTAAATGATTGGGGGATCAGGTGGGAGAGTAGCAGGGTGATCGTGTGGGTGGTTGAGCAGGTGTGTGTATAGGTGGAGATTGGTGTTGTAGTGGTTAGTGCGCTGTGCTGCGAACCTGCCAATCCAAGTTCAATTTCCACTCATGGCCACCAACACCAATGACCATTGTCTGAACCGGTCATGGGCTTCCCTTAGGTCGATTCAGCTTCAAATGAGTACCTTGGTGTGTAGTTTAAATATCACAACTCGGGAGACAATGGCGGCAGGTCTTGGTGCAAGCCACCCACCCACTCGTGTGCCATGCCGGCCTTCATAGATGCTCGCTAACAGCACTTGCCCTACAGTTTTTTCAGGCTATACAGGGGATCTTTACCTTTGTGTGGGTGGCTAAGTGAGCGTGTTTGCAGGTGATCCGGTAGGAGGGAGATCAGCCGGGAATGATACCTTGAATTTGCATGAGATGGGTAGATGGGAGGGTGACAGGATGGGCAGGTGTAGGGCCGAGCAGGTGTGAGTGTGGGCAGGTGGAAGGGAGGGTCTCTGTAGACGGCTGGGGGGGGGGTATTAGGTTAGGGAGTGGCTGGTGTAAGGTAGGAAAGTGTTGGGCGCAGGTGAGTGGGTGGTAGTCATCATAACTAAGCGTCGTCATTATCATCATCGTGCTCTTCATCATCATCCATCAGTCAAGATCCATTCATCAACGTAGCTCATGGTGATGAGGAACAAGCAAACTGATTGAGAGTGCAGCTGTAAATACCACGAGACGCGCTATGGTATGTAGTCCAAGGCTACAGACAGCACTTACCTGTGAAGGCGTAAGCTGTAGATTTACAAACCGTGCCCGGGTGTAATCTCCGATAATATAACATATATACAAATACAACAACAGTAACCATCCCAAAATAATACATGTTTACACAAGTCAGTCTCAGCTATGAGAGAGTCACATTCACAGCCTGGATGACAATCTTGAAAATAGATTTTCAGATTTTATTTTGTATTCACCCATAACACATTGACCCTTGACCCACAAAACAATGTGATTACAATTCACAGGTAACCCAGAACACAATCAAGTCTATGTCTATTTACGCGATCTAACCCAATAAACATTTATCATTGATAATATTGGTCGCGAAAGCCTACGTGTTAAAGTCGATTTGTTTAACCAGGTGAGAACTCAAGAGACCAGGATGCGTCTCGGTTGCAAGAGGGATAATAATAATGCTGCTTCTGCTGCTGCTGATGATTTTGTTACTGCTGATAATGATTCTATTATTGATGCTGCTGGTTCTACTCCTGATGCTGATGATGATGGATTTACTGCTGTTGATGCTGTTGCTCCTGTTACTAATATTACTGCTGATGATACTTCTGCTGATGCTGATGATCGAGTCGAGTTGAATTTTAATTTAACGAGGTGAAAACTCAGGAGATCAGGATGAGTCTCATTGACAAGAGTGACCTGGGTCACAAAAATGAAAAAAGTCAAACCCATGCGAGCAATGAAGCAAATATAAATCTCACCCACAGCCCAGAGCACAATGCAATTCGCGTTCACACAACTACACAACTTGTACGATATAATCAATGCGGCTCAAATCATCTACGCGTTTCTAAACAGCCTGAGACTTGAGGTTGGGTTTACACCGGATTGGTGTCTCACGTTAAGGAGGGGTGCCACGGTAACTCGGAGATGATAACTCACTCGCCTGGTATGCAGGAGGTCGTTGGTTGGATTACGACCCTGAAAGCTGTTGTATATTTGAAGTTTGCGTTCTCATGGGTAGCAAAAATAAAAAAAGCAAAACAAGTCAACCCCATACCAGCAGGCTCAATTAATTAACAGACTTCCAAGTCAAGAAACAGTTACATTTTTTGTCAGCAGAGGAAGGCGTTATCCCATTAATCGAAGGTTGTGGCTGGAGGTCCAAAGAGAATTAAAACGTTAAACAAAACAAACCTTTAATATGTAAAGTATTGGTAGTGAAAGCCCTCCTACTAGGTTTTAAAATGGCTTCTCTCTGTCAATGCCCTGTAAAATAAAACTACTTTGTGTGGGTGGAGGAGTCCCTCGACCCAGGTTATAACAAAAATGTTTTCGCCCAGCAACGCTCGGCACACACAACGAGTAGTCCCCCCCCCAGTGATGCTATCCCATTTCCACCCCTGGTTTATCACCCATCAAACGAGTGACCGCGAGGGGGACGGCGCGCGTCACCCCGTAGCGTCACGTGACGCGTGTCCCCAGAACGCCCGCGGTGGAACTCCGCACTCTCGGCGTTGAGCGCCGAGAGTGTGGAGAGTGTTCCCCGCCCTCCCCCACCATTGCGCAAACCACTGCCATACCGCTCCACCCCACACAATGCACATGCCCCTCTATACACTAAAGACAAAGATCCCCCGTGTAGCCTTAACAGATTGTTGGGGTAAGTGCTGTTATTAACAGGTAGCAACTATGAAGGCCGGCATGGCACTCGAGGGGGTGGGTGGCCTGCACCCCGCCCGACCCGCCTTTGTCTGTGCAGTGCCGGACATCATAGGTGCTCGCTCACAGCACTTGCCCCAACAGTCTGTTAAGGCTGCATTGGGGATCTGTGTCTTTGTGTGCGTGAATCTGTGCGTTGTGCCCCTTTTCTCTGTGCTGCTCAAACTCCGTCTTATCAGGACGCACGACTCAGATCGAGAATCGTCACTGAGTTACCAACACCACCCACCCACAGTGCGGGGTAGAGCGGTTGACTAAACGAGTGGTGAATGGAGTGCAACAGCTCCATGGAGTCCGGGCGGTAAAACGACAGCAGCCCCGCCTCCCAGTGCAGATGACATCCGACTCTCCGGGGAGGATCCCTCACTGTCACTGAGGTCGCTACATCACCATGACACACTGAGCAGCTGTTGTTATTTTTACATAAAACCCAGGATGAGTCGTTCCTTCCCAGCTCACACTCTTTACTACCTCCTTTCCGTGCGATCGTCCCGTATGCAACTCCAACCTCACAGATCCCCGCCACACCCCCCACGTCCACCTCCCAGTAGTGCTGACCCGACGCGAAGCTCTCCGAGCACAGGGCTTGGTAGAAGACATCAAAGCGTTGTGGGTGGTCGGGTCGACCCTGGGAGACAGCCGTCCGCGTCATCGTCCTGAGATCCGAGGAAATCTGGAGGTTGTTGTAGGCCGATTTTGGGTCCAGAGTCGGTGAGCGTCCGTCTGCAGGAATGATAATAACAGTCACCGTGTAACAACAGCATAAATATAACAAAAGCACTCGTGCACTAACACGCACGTACAGTACAATAGATCAATTCATAATGAGCATTTTATACAATGTAATGCGTAGCTATCAGTGTGATGACATGTAAAGGCACTTTGTCAATCCACTGCTGGACGAGGGCTTCCCTATACCATGCGGGTTGCGGGGGATATTTGACCATACTTCACCACGCGGTCACCGCACGTTGGTGAAGGCAGGCGGCGCGGCTGGCGAGAGCATAGAAGTACAGTACAGCAGTTCGTTTGTCTGCCCCGCCATCTGCTGCCCCGCCACGTAGCCCCGCAGCCTATAGCACCTTCTACGTAGGGTGGTGGCCGCCCGTGCGAGCCCTCCCCAGGCCCAACCCATGCGGGGCTTTCCGAGGTACGAGGAGGTGGGGCGCACTGCGGGCGATTTGGGGAGAATCTCTAATTGCGATTTTTCTGACAGATATTGCGATTGCTCTTTGATTTGCTATTATATTTTTTAAGTCAAGCTTCAGTTCAATATTTACTGTGTAATAGATTTGTAATGCGGGCGTAAACGGCTTGGCGGATGTGACGTCATGTGGGGAGGAGTCAGGGTCACGTGGGGGAGAAGTTATAGCGGGGAGACAGGAAGCCATCTGGGTCAGTCGGGGGAGTGAAGGGTGGTGAACACGTTGGGTGGTCGCCGTGCCTCAGCCTGGTGGCTGAGGGGCTCATGACGGCGCCAGCCAGCGGGGTGGAAGAGAGAGTTGGGGATAGAGACAGAGAGTGGCGAGATAGCCACAGAGGCCACGCAGGGCTGAGGTTGGAGATGGCGAGATCGCCACAGAGGCCACGCAGGGCTGAGGTTGGAGATGGCGAGATCGCCATAGAGGCCACGGAGGGCTGAGATTGGGGAGTGGCGAGATCGCCACACACGGTAAGACTCGGCACCGCTGGCCAGCGGTGACCGAGCACGGAGGAACAGGGAGCAGCGGTGGAGCTGCTGAGAGAGCAGCCGGAGGGCTGCACCAAGAGCCTGCAGCGGAGCTACAGGAGCGCGGAAGGCTACGGGAGCGAAGGCAGCTGTGGAGCTGCCAAGCAGAGAGTCTCAGGAGGAGAGCCGTGTGGGAAAGAGAACGCGAACCCAAATAAAGGACACGGAGACAGAACCAGGGTCGAGTCCTTTATTACACTGGTGTCAGAAGTGAAACGGCATCTCAAAACAACTGAGAGAAAGAAAAAAAAGAATATTCCTGCGCCATCATCTGCTACATCATCCGACGACGACGACCTTCCTCAGACGGTGGACCTGCCTGCGATGGAAGAGGAGATCCGTGCTGGAACGAGTTCGGGTCCGGGTGAGCAAGGTGTCGCCGCGTCGGTGGACCTGTCTGTGCCGGAGGACGCCAACTTACGATGGAGACAGATGGCGGCGCAGATGGAGACCTTGAAAATCGTGCTGGCGCAACTGTGTGAGTTCACCACGCCGAGGACGGCGTCGGGGAGGCCCGGTGGTGATCCGCAGGCCTCCGCCTTTCCTGCGCTGCCAGCGCCATCTGCCACGTGGCACGAAGACGCCATCTTGGGCGTGGCAGGGGAGAAACGGCGGGAAGCCGCCATCTTGTCTTCACCACGGCGGGGAGACGCCGCCATCTTCAACATCGCGGCGGAGAGGCAGCCTTGCGCTACCATCTGGAGGTGCCGCGGGGTGAGCAGCCTGCTGTGAGCTGCTGTTTTTCGAGGAGGAGCTGCGAGGAGAGGACGCCGACGCTGCAGCTGCTGGGACGGGAGCTCTCCCGTCCTGGCTCGGGTGCGAGACGACGGAGCAGTCAAGTCGCCGAACGAGTTCTGCGAGGCGTCTCAAGTTACCACCCTGCGTCCTCTTCTTGCTGCAGCCCCAGGCGAGTCGTAACGATACGCACCCGGCCTTAACACACACCTCACCCATCTTTCGAGGGCCGGGGGGCGATTCTGTTTTTTCTCTCATGACTCGATTGTGCGGAGCGCGGTTTGGGCTGTGTGTGTGTGTTTTCTGGATGAACGCGTTATTTGCTTGTTGCTCGGTGTCAATTAGTGTGTATGAGTGTGTGTTGAGGATGGAAGGAGAGTCTGCTGTGCTTGCTGAGTGTCAAATAGTGTGTGTGCGCTGCTGCGTGGAGTTGTTATCTTGATGGCGAAGTTAATTATTAACTCGAGAGCGTCGGGTATCTTGAGCTGTATTATCTCGTGGGTTACCTTGTGCGATGGGCTTAATTGAAAAATATATTTTGTTTTTGGTGTAATTGTGCTGCGAGGTGCTATGTGCGATGTGGTTGTTGCAAGAGAGAGAATATTTGTGTTGTTGCTGCAATGTTACGACTGGATTAATGGTGTGTTGGTTGCCTGCAGATCGGCTTGCTATTGTGCTTAAATGTGCGCGTGTGATCGCGATATGCTGACTGCATGTGCTGTTTACACCGTTCTGTACGGTTATGGGGTGCGATGCATTGGTTGACTATTGGGGTTGGGATGTTATTAATTGTGCGTACCTGTTTGGAAATTGGTAACAAATTCGAGGGGGACCCTATTATTTGGTCGTATGGATGTTATGTACACGCGATTTCGTGTATATTATGGGTAATTGCGCTTTTTGAGAGAGAGAGCGCGCTTTAAGGGTGCGTGATGACGCCGTTGTGGGTGTCTCAAAGGTTAATGCTAATGGGACCGTAAATTGGCGCCAAGTGGCGTCGCGTATTCGGTTCATCGCATGCAGCCACGAGTTGCTTTGCGAGTTGGGTTGTGTAACCAATGTGGTTGGTAAAATATTGGTTAAAAATTCCCCGATATGACTGCTGCGCGCAGCAAGCTGGGGCTGTGCGTCTATCGTTGTTTGGGTTGTTACAATAAGACGGGGGATGCATTTTGTGACCCCCAGCAAAGGGAAGCTGGGGTGCACGAATGGAGAAAACTGGCCACGTGTTCGCACGTTGGGCCGCCATTTTGCGCGCACGCGGGGTATGGCGACGATGCGCTTTGCGGAAAGGGCCGCCATTTTGAGTGCGCGCAGGATATTGCGACAACGCGCTTAGCGAAGGGGGCCGCCATTTTGAGCGCGTGGGAAAAACCTCGGTGGGGCAAATATTCCATCTGTTATGCCTGCCATTGTTGATTGCGTGATGCACGAGTTGTGGTCACATCGGCCTATGGCCGATGGCTGACCTGACAGCCCAGAGGCGAAACCTCCGTGGTATGTCTCAAACTAATGGGCCATGTGCTCATATGGCTCGGGGAGTCATGGTTCAGTTGTGCGGTGGCAGACTGAACCTGGTGTGCCGGGGGCTCACGGGATCTGGGTTAGGGTGTTATTGTCTCTATAAGAGAACATTACCCCGTGGGGGGGGTCGTTGATATCTGGCCTTGCCGAGGGATTGATCTTACCTTGGCTATAAAGCGTCAGACTATAAGAGGCTGGTGTGTGTCCATCGCTGATGGGATAGTAAGGGAGGAGCATGGCCGAGTGCTGCTCATCCCCGAAATGGCACTAGCCGAGAGTATGGTAAATGGATGTTGCTGTGGGTTGACGACCACGGTGAGGGTTACGGCGAGTTAAACGTTACCGCTGGGGAGCGTGGCTCTCTCCACGCGAGGGTGTGCGATTAGGGGTTTTGTTGGTTTGTTGAGAGTGACTGTGGGTACATGCTGTGTACGTCTGAGGTCTGTGCTGGTCCTCAAGGGAGGACTGCTGGTGGGTAAGAGCAGAATTGTTTTTGTTGTTGTTGTCACGTGTAAATATTATTGTTGTTAAAATGTAAATACTGGGGCATCGATCGCGGTTAATTTGGGTAATTATTGGGTTTTTTTTTTTTAAGCGGGCCGGATTTACATCATCTCCACTACCCTGAGGCCGGGTGGCTGTCGTGTACGACATGCGGATGTGCGTTGTTGTGCTGTGCCTCAGGGGATTGGATTCTCCTTCTCGTCACAGATTCTTCAGCTCCCGTCGCACTGGGTGTTACCTGGTGTGCTAGCTGGATGAGGACTTGAAGGAGCAATTGAGCGCCGTTCGTCATTCTGCTCTACCACTTGCTCTTTGATGTTGGACTTGAGCCGAGCGGATGGAACAACAACATGGACACGCTTTGAGACACCACATTTCTGGGTTGTGCGCGTGTGCCATTTTTGCGTGTTGGTGGCCGTTGTTGTGCTCTGTGCTATTATTATTCTTGTTGTTCTGTTCCGGTTTCTGATCCTTCCCCTTTTGTTACTTGTTGTTGTTGTTATAAGGTCTATTGTGTCTGGGGGACTCCTGGTTGTGATGCCTTCGCCCGCATTATTTTGTTCTGTTTCAGCCGAGGACGGCTGGAATTTTCTCTACGGGGGAGGGTGGTGTAATGCGGGCGTAAACGGCTTGGCGGATGTGACGTCATGTGGGGAGGAGTCAGGGTCACGTGGGGGAGAAGTTATAGCGGGGAGACAGGAAGCCATCTGGGTCAGTGGTGGGAGTGAAGGGTGGTGAACACGTTGGGTGGTCGCCGTGCCTCAGCCTTGTGGCTGAGGGCCTCATGACGGCGCCAGCCAGCGGTGTGGAAGAGAGAGTTGGGGATACAGACAGAGAGTGGCGAGATAGCCACAGAGGCCACGCAGGGCTGAGGTTGGAGATGGCGAGATAGCCACAGAGGCCACGGAGGGCTGAGATTGGGGAGTGGCGAGATCGCCACACACGGTAAGACTCGGCACCGCCGGCCAGCGGTGACCGAGCACGGAGGAACAGGGAGCAGCGGTGGAGCTGCTGAGAGAGCAGCCGGAGGGCTGCACCAAGAGCCTGCAGCGGAGCTACAGGAGCGCGGAAGGCTGCGGGAGCGAAGGCAGCTGTGGAGCTGCCAAGCAGAGAGTCTCAGGAGGAGAGCCGTGTGGGAAAGAGAACGCGAACCCAAATAAAGGACACGGAGACAGAACCAGGGTCGAGTCCTTTATTACAGATTTAAACCACGTGATGGAGCATTACCACA